ACCATGGTTTTGGAAGTGCTAAGGATTCTTGTACCGCCATAATGTACTAAAGAAGGTCCTCCCCACCATTCCTGGAGTTCTTTCAGTCAACTGGAGGAGGGTCATCCTCAGTCTGGAAGCCAAAGTGCAGTGATGGCTTTAACACATCAATGCTGGGGCGGTTTCTTTTGTCTTGGCACGGGATGGAATAGGATCCTTAGTGTCTTTGCTTGTGTTGGAAAATACGGTGATGAGTGTCAGGTAAACATAGGGATTGAGGAAACCAAATATGATGCCAGGTGTATGCTCCCTCAGGGCTTCAGGTGAAGGACTCCGAGAAGACCAGATGGAAATGTATGGCCTTTTCTTTTTTTTTTTTTAAAGATTTTTATTTATTTATTTATTTGAGAGAGAGAGAGAATGAGAGAGAGCACATGAGAGGGGGGAGGGCCAGAGGGAGAAGCAGACTCCCTGCCGAGCAGGGAGCCTGATGCGGGACTCGATCCAGGGACTCCAGGATCATGACCTGAGCCGAAGGCAGTCGCTTAACCAACTGAGCCACCCAGGCGCCCTGTATGGCCTTTTCTGACCTGCCTGTGGAAATCCTGTCATGTCGAGTCTGCTGTGCTCCTATAGGTTGAAGCCGACTCAAGGGAGGGGGCATAGACTGGTCCACCCTCCTCCATAGGACCAGTGTCAAAGAATATGTGGACATGTTTTAAAACATTGATGGAATCCTCGTGGAGAAAGATCCATTCTGCTGTATCAGGGACAGTGAGTCCAGCTAATTTTTGTGATGTGGGCATTATTATTGAATTTGGGTCTGTCTTGATGGCTGGGCTTGGGGCCACTCTGTGCTTCCACAGTACCTTACCCCTCTGGACCCTGTTGTCCCCACAATGTTCTGTGACCCTGGCTTATTTGTTTGTAGGCTCTCGGTCAACATCCTATTCCCAGCACTTAGCCTAGTGCCTTGAACATAATAGACGTTCAACACATACTCCCTGAATTGACCTTAATTAACTTAGTAAATGTCCTGCACATCCGGCACTCAGGTCAGCTTTTGCGTCCTTCAATTTTGTCCCTGGATACATGAACTTTGTGGGAATCCTAGGGAAGGCTTATTCTAAACAGAAACCAGCCTATGGAATATAGTGGCCCAAATGGATACGCCCCGTCCTGCTTCCAGCTGCTCATTGAGGGTCCCCCCCTACTCCCCCGGCCCGGTGTTTCACATGAGCCATTTTATAAATAACAAGGACCTTGCTGGAGCTTGGTTCATGCTAAGCAGTAAATGTATGCTACCTGTGGATAGAAGTCTGCCATTTGGGGAGGATAGACTGAAACTTCTCTTTTCATTTTAATTAGTCATCCCTTTGTCATGAATGGTGGATTCTGTAACATTCTATTGTCTACCGGGTGACTGTCCCGTCTCTTTCTGTTAAGGGCGGCATCTGATTCCAGTAGAGTGCACTGTGCAGGAACAAGGTGCAAGTTTCAGCGTGAGAGGCGGGTGCGCTCGTCCCGTCATGAAGGCAGTCTTACCACCTGCCTGGGAGTGAGAGCCACAGAGGGTTTGTCCGTTATGTCTCGGAAGTCTCTATGGGCTGAGAGACTGCGATGATAATCACCTGTGAATGGAGATCTGGTGGGGAGGCTCTGTCAGATGGCAGAGACCCGGCTCCTGGGAGGGGTTAATGGAGTTGAATTTCTTGCTCCTGGAAAACTTCCCAGTATCTTGTTTTACTATAAACATTGAGTCGCTGAATTGATAAGCGGCCTACTGATAGCAAGACTAGAGTAAACCCAGAAATTTTAAAACATTTTTTTTAAATTCAGAGAGATGGTGGTTACAGAGGGGCTTGAACTCATGACCCCGAGATCAAGAATCACATGCTCTCTGCCTGAGCCAACCAGGTGCCCCAAGCCGATCTATGCTACTAAGAAAATATCCACGGGGTGCCTGGGTGGCTCAGTCGTTAAGCGTCTGGGATCCTGGGATCGAGCCCCGCATTGGGCTCCCTGCTCTGTGGGAGGCCTGCTTCTCCCTCTCCCGCTCCCCCTGCTTGTGTTCCCTCTCTCTCTGTCAAATAAATAAAATCTTAAAAAAAAAAAAAAAAAAAGAAAATATCCACTTGTTGAAAATGGGTTTAATTTGAAGAAGGTGTGAATTGTGGAAATTTCTCGGTGAGAAATGCATTCTTTTTAGGTAGTTGGGTCGGGGAGCCTATTTTAAGGACATGGGTTAAGGAGTAGTAACTTTATCTTTGTCTTCCCCACCAGTTTCAGTGCTGGTCATTGCACTGATGGCCGCAGGCTCTCACACTCTTGTTGCTCAGCAGTGAAAGTTTTATAAACACTGGACACTGTGACTTAGCCCAGGGCTTGACAATAAGCTCGTAGCTTGATTAATGTGGTAGCTTTCTTAGGTGTGGCCTTCCTTTATCTTTAACTGTGATGTGGCTGAAGGTCCAATTATATTCAGCTTTTAGGGAAGACTAAAAGGGTAGTATCTTTGTAAAGCATTGTAAAAGTGAACAGCTTTTCATCACAAATATCAAGGGAGAAAGATGTCAGATCAGTTCATGTTAAATTAAATTGATGTCATGGTGACAAGTCGGCAGGCAGCTCCTGGGCCCCAGGACTGGCGGGCATTCATGAGTGAGATCTGTTGATTGATGCCTCTGTCCACACTTGGTGCCGATATACTGTTAGAGATACAACACACTCTTTGTATAACTGAAAACGTAAACTTGCTAGAGTTTTATTGTAGATGTAGGTTACTTAGCACTGCCTTGCATCTCATGCACTTCACTACACAAAGGGCCCCGTTAGATCTTCTGTAGTCACAGGATATTGCAGTGCCTGTCCCGTTGTTAACTCACCTTAAAATATGGCATCAGTTAGTAGCTGAAACCCATTTACACTATTTTTTCCTAAAGTTTTTATTTAAGTAATCTCTATACCCAACGTGGGGCTTGAACTCATGACCCCGAGATCAAGATCACATGCTCTCTGCCTGAGCCAACCAGGTACCCCAAACCCATCTGTGCTACTAAGAAAATATCCACTTGATGAAAATGGGTTGCCGTCCATCCTACCAGATGGAAATTAATTGTTCATGTGGCCTTGGAATTCATATGGAAGTGGAAAAGGGCACAAAGAAGACATGGGGATCCAAGAAATCTTGGCAACCACTAATTTGTCACAGTGACAAAACCATGTCATCTGTTCTGGGAACATAGCTGAGCGAGTTCGGCGATCTGAGTTTGGGTCCTCATTCTTGCCCACGGTCTGTGTGACAGCTCTAATTTGTCCTCACGGGCCTCACGTTCTTCGTCTGCAAAACAAACAAGGTTGAAGTCAATGTGCCTCAACTTAAACATTCTGTAACCCTGCCTAAAATTATTTTAATCCAAAATTATTAGTAGTTCTAGGAACCAGGATTCTCCAGAGAAGCAAAACCAATAGGAGCCTGCCTGTCTTCCTACCTACCCACCGTCCTCCCCAAAGAGAAATTTTAAGGAATTGTTGCATGTGATTGTGGGGGCTAGCAGGTCCCAAATCCATAGGTCCAGCCAGCAGTGTGGAAACTCAGGCTGCAGTTGACATTGCCATCTTGAGTCTAAATTCTGCACGGTAGAAGGCTGGACACTCAGGCAGGGTTCTCTTTTGCAATCTGGAGGCAGAATTGCGTCTTCAGGAAACCTCAGCCTTGGCTCTCTAGGCCTTCAGTTGATTGGATGGGGCCCACCCACATGGAGGGCAATCTGCTTTACTCAAGAGTCTCCCGATTTAAGGTGAATCACATCTGAAACAATACCTTTATGGCAATGCCTAGACGGGCATCAGTTCATCCACCAGTCTATGTCATACATTTATTAAGCACCCAGGTGTAAGACACTTTGCTAGACGTCAGGAAGGCAAAGGTAAGATGAGCCCTTCACTTGGAAAGCAATCAAAATCTGTTTAAGGAGACAGACAAGTGAGAAAGAAATCACGGCATGCCATTGGCTAAATTTGATTGAGTGGTGAGGGCAATGAGGGCGGGATAGAGCCTCATGGCTTGGTGGAGGCCGGGGGAGGTACGAGGTCGGGGAAGGCTTCATGGGAGAGGGGATACTTAAGTTTGGTCTTTTTTTTTTTTTTTTAAAGATTTTATTTATTTGAAAGAGAGAGCGAGCACAAGCAGGGGGAGAGGCAGAGGGAGAGAGAAAGGGAGAAGCAGTCTGTCCGCTGAGCAGGGAGCCCGACATGGGGCTCATTCCCAGGACCCCGAGATCATCACCTGAGCTGAAGGCAGACCCTTAACCAACTGAGCCACCCAGGCGCCACTTAACTTGGGTCTTGAGGGGCAATTAGGAGTTCGTTCTCCAAGGAGGCATTCCTAGTAGGGAAAGGCCTGGAGAATAAAAAAACTCCCATTCATGAAACGGCAGGGTATTCAGAATTAATGTATGGAAAGCTTCTGTCACATAATAGGTACTGGAGACTCAATATCTGTTATTATCGTTGGAGAAGTTTAAATGCAGCAGATCTTATATTTTATAATTTCTTGATTAGTAAATAACCATCTATTAGGCCATCAGCAAAATAGGACAATTCTTGGCTTTTAAAAATTGTCAGTATAATCTATTTAGATAGAAGCCACTGATTTTTCAATTTTCCATTGTGAGTTTGAGTTCCACGATGGGCATAGAAATTACTTAAAAGAAAATAAAAATTAAAGGAAATTATATCTATATAGGATAAGAGGCAGGCATTATTTTTTCTAATATTTATTTAAAATCTTAAATTTATTTTAAGCAGGGGGTGGGGAGGTGGGGCAGAGGAGAGAGAATCCTTAAATAGGCTCCCTGCTGAGCACAGAGCCTGATGCAGGGCTCCATCGCAGGACCCTGGATCGTGACCTGAGCTGAAATCAAGAGTCAGCCACTTAACCAACTGAGCCACCCAGGTGCCCCAATGAGGCAGGCATTCTTGACCAAATATTTCATGTTTCTAAAAATTTTCTCTGGACGAATTATATCACCTTGGGCAAGTCAGCCTACCTCTTTTAGTTTTAAATTCTCACCTAAAGAGAGAGAGCTTGGACTGGTTTTTAAAGGTCCACCCATAGAATAGTCTGTGAACCTATATAAATGAAAATTATTATCTCTTCTGTGTCAAGTTATATAGGTGTATTTCTGTAGTATGAATCATTGTGATAATCACACCTTTCCCAATAGCAACTATTTATAATGAAAGTACTTTATTGCCACTTCGATTGAGCATTTCATGTTTCAGCCAGTTAATTGAGTATTTTATGCGTGTTATCCCATTAAGTACTTGGAATAACCCTGCAAAACAGATAATATTTCTGCTTCATAGTAGAAGAAACCAGAAGCTCAGACAATTTAAATAATCAGGCTGGGCTCACTCAGGTGGTAATGGGGAAGCTGAGGGGTTGAACCCCAATCTTTTGGCTCTGAAGCCTGCATTCTTTATCAAGGCTGTAACCCACGGTACACAATTATTACCATAAAGTAGTATTTTATGTACATAGCCGAGGTGAAATGTCTTATAAAAAGACAAGTCTCAGTCTCTGAAAGCAATCTGTTTAACATTTTTAAAAATGAAAGAAAAGGGAGGTACTTTCTGGTATGTTGACTAATGGGGCCACGAATTTTAATATGTCACTGGGCAGCACATCAAACAACGGAAGAAGGATTGTTCTCCATAATATGAGAGGACCCAGAAACCACCTGCTTCATAAGTAATGCAACTCGTTCTTTGACTCAACCCACTTGTATATGGATTCTGCCCCACAGTCTGTGATAACTGCCTCTGCCACCCTGGTTCTTATTAGGGTCTTGGCTGGTCCCTCTGCCCGGCAGATCATTTCCTTCAAAGTAGCACTGGGATCTCAGCCTTGTTGGCCATCTCTGAGAGTCATTTCCTGACCTTCCGATTTAAAGTAGCCACTTGTCCAAACTCACTATCTCATCATCCCTGTTTAGGTGTCTACATTGCACATATTGCTGTAGGATATTTTTATTTGTTTCTTGTGTTGTTTTGACTGCTTTCTCCCGCTTGAATGAAGTTCATTTCATTGAGAGCAGAGACCTTCTCTTTTACTCACTACTCTACTCCCAGCCCTGGAGCTGTGGCTTGATCACACTAGGCTTTGTCTGGCTGTCTAATCCACCATCTATTTGTCTATTTCTTCTCCTCTGTCTGTTCTTTCTCCCTCTTTTCTTCCCCCGCTCCATATATCTATCTGTAAAATGGCTTGGCTATGTGGTTAGAGTAAATCTGCTTCTCCGTTTAGGATGTGGGGAGGACCCTCATATTTCCTTTATAGTTAACCACTTTAACTTCTGATTTTTTTTTTTTTAGTTGCTCCCTTTTTGAATCAAGCCCAAGATACAGTACAATGTTGAAAAACTGAGCTTTAATTACAAAAGTGTAATAAAAAAATGGTTTCTTATCACCTTCTTGTTTTCTTTTGCCAGGGCTGTGTGCTTGAATTACCCCTTCAGCCAGCTCATTCTGGATGAATGAATGAAGAACACTTAAGTGTTATTCCCCTGCCTCTAGGGGTAAGTTTAAGGCACTTGTGCATCTCAGAGGTGCTAATGTATGTCATTGTGTGTCTGTTTCCCATGTAACTCTGTTAACTGCTCTTTGTATGTGGACCTGGGTGGGGAAAGCCACAGTGGATTCCTCAGGTTCGGGCTGGAAGTTGAATTTCCTGTGGGCAGTGGGGCACCGTATCTGAATGGCTTATTATAAACGCGCTGTAATTTGATGTGCTGGATGATCCTCTCTCTGTGGAATATGGTACACCCATCCTCTCTGGGAACTCAGCTGGGGAAGTCGCAGCTTGGCAAACGTTCATGTCCGTCTCTTTATGTACCAAATACTGATAGAGCACATGCTTGAGCTCCAAACAGTACATCCTGCTGAAGAACAGATCTATCATTTCTAGCTGGGGTTGTAAGCTCAGGTAAGCTCAGGACACTTGGACATTAAGAAGCCTCTGAGGAAAGGTAAGGTTCCGATTATGTTAAGGCTGTTTCCTTCGGATGGAGGTGTTTCACTAGTCGATGTATCGGTGTTTCAGTTTAAGTACTAAAGCAGAGAGCGGAAGAGTTCCCAAAGCAGTGTTTGGAATGGTTGCAAGTCATTCCCTGGAAATGTTTGCAGTGTCTGTAGTTCACGCTTGCAATGCAGAGGCTCACAGACACCAGCATCAACTTCCCAGGTGGCAGTTTGTCCCATCTTCCCAGTGCTGCCTCACGCCCTTTGGATCTCAATTCAAGGTGCTGCCTCTGAGAGACCCATCTCTGTCTACCCAACCTAAAGTGGCCGCCCATTTTAATTCTCTGCAAAGTGCTGTCCTACCTGATAGTTTTCTCCCCTGTGTATTTATCAGCCTGCTGTTCAGCCTTACTGTCCCTGGAGCAGAAATTCTGTATGGTCCGAACACTTGTCTGTCCTCACGTAGCTCCACAGCCCGGAACAGTGTCTAGAGCACAGTGGGTATTTTTGGACTGAATATATAATGAATTCAACAGTTGGCACTAGAGGAGATTTTGGAGATTCAGTTTGTCTATCTAGTAGCTGTTTCTAAATATGAATTATTCTCTCACCGAATTATCAGGTTTAACATGATCTTCCATGTAAAGAGGAAGTTTTGTAATGTTTTGGGTTTATTTGCAAAGAGAGCACTTATTAAAGTCAGAAATTTTGATGATAATTGGTAACTTTTGTGTTGGTTGACCTTTATATCATCTACATTAGAACATTTAAAAGGAATTTCTGATTAGCCTCGGTGACTGTTTTATTTAGGCTTTAATGAAGTTCAGATACCATGACTGAAACACACCTATTTGAAAAGCATAAAAGTTAGATTTTTTTGGAGTCAGATTGCCTGAGTTGTTTGAATACTGTCTCTGACATTTCCTGGTTCAGTGACCTGGGGCAGGTTATTTAAGCTTTGGTACCTTATTTTCTTATTACCCTCTAAAGTGAGGGTAATAAGACGTTTTCCTCATGGAGTTGAGGATGTTAGTATGTATATGTGTTACATAAATTTCTGCTATTTTATTTAGTATATAACTCAGAATTTTATATATTAAATATATCTGCTAGGTTTAAAGGTAATATATTTGGATACTGTTCATAAAGTGGAGATAAGACTTTGAGCATTTGCTTTTGCGTTACGTGGATGAAAACAGGCCATTCCCCAAAGTCACCAGAAAGAAAAGGCTTGCTTATAATTATTAATAATTTTAATTAGTTGTCATAGTGATTAAACACAGATGTGCCATTTTCTGTATGTATGACAATATTGTTGTCTCTTTGGTATCAGACAGACTTGGTTTGAGTTTTCTAGTTGTGCTTGTTTTGTGACCGTCAGCACATTACTTGGCTTTGCTTAGCCTCAGTTTCTCCATCTGCAAAGTAGTGCTGATAATACAATTCAAAGAGGATTACTGTGAGAATTAAATATGAAAATACATGTAACAGTCCTGGCACAGGGCTTCATGATTTTTCGTTTCCTTTTTTCTTTCTTTCTAGACCTTAGATCTAAGAAGGATATTAATATCTGGGCAACAATGACCATGGTTAGGAGTGTTTGGAAATAGTGTCCCATTTGTAATGGTAAAGGAGCTAGAATATTTAGCATAGAAAGTAGTAAGCTTAGTGAGGAGCATGATGCTGCTCTTGAGAGCGTGTCCTGTGAGCAGGGAGCAGGGGCGATGAGACGCGAGGACCAATGAGTAGAACGAAACCTAGGAGCTGGGGGGAAATGGGGGGGGGTGTCCCTGCACAGATGTGGGTCCAGAGGCTGCTGGGCTGCAGATCAAGATTCCCGGAGAAGGGATTTCTCTGCTCCCCAGGAAGGAGGCTGCCGTGGCTGGTGTGGCCCATTACAACCCCCCTAATGTAGAAGCAGCCCCCTGTCTGAAATCCCGTGTGCGCATCTGGTTGTCTTGGCCAAACTGATTGTGTGGAGATGTATGTCCCTAGAGACCCAGGATTTAACTTTCCAAAGTCAGGAAGTTGGGACTGCTGATTGCTTGCTTTTAAATAAACCTTTTTCAGGATTTACAATTTTTCTGTTTGTGTTTCACCATTTCCATCAGACGGTGCACCCTGGTGGGCTTCTGGCTGCTTCTGGGCTGTGGATAAGCTTTGTTGGGCCTGCAAAACGTGTCCTTGACAAGTCTTTTAAGGATATTTAAAATAGTTGCCTACCTTTAAAAAGTGAAAATTTTATATAAAAGCGTGTTCAGTGATTCTTAAAAATGCGGTTCATCTGGCAAGGTAGGGTTCTGCGTTCCCAGGTGGCAGTGGGCTGGGTGGCTCCTGGTTCCGGTGGATGGGGCAGGTGCGGGCGGGTCCACCACAGTATTTACCCTTCGTGTCTTCCCAACACTGAGTGTCAGGTACCGTGTTTCATTTACTTAGGTTGTTTTCCTTATAGTAGATTTAGGAGAAAACTGGAAAAGTTCTATCTACTTCTCTATTAGTAGTGGAAAAATAAAGATATTTTTGTAGAGTTTCATGTTTCCAGAAAAATAGAACAGAAGATTTTTTGGGTGTGTGCTAAAGAATACTTGGTATAAGCCTAATTTGCAAACAAATGGCTTCTGTTTCTTAAGAATATAGTACTCTGGCCTCTGTCATTTCATGCATTTAAACAGCCCTGATGGTGTGTGTGTGATCTCTAACCTGGGCAGTAAATTTTTCCCTCTGTGTTCAGACACAACCTTTTTGCTTCTATTTTAGGTCATTTCCTTGCTTTCAGCAGCAAACTCGCTTGTCTTCCCCAAGATCAGTTGTTGGGACTCCTGGATGGGTGAAATGGTAGCAGTGTGTAATTTGCACACACGTGTGGGCTGTGGAATGAGGTTCCATTCTGTTTTCTCCTTTGGACCCCCTAAAGCTTCCCAGACTTTGTGGCACCAAACAGATGAGGGCCTGTAAACTCGTTGACTCTGGGGGTGTTTACCAAGAGCACTGCACTCTTAGCCCACTGAGGCACAGACTGAAGTCTTAGGACTTCTTTGTACGTTTGATTTTCAGTGAAAAATAGTCTGGATTTGCTTGTTTATTCTGTTCTACAAGGGATGTTCTGGCTTCATTGTGCAGATAAACTAGAAGAGAGAGAGAGCAGGGGAAGAGCCATGAAATTGGAGTTCTGTTGTTTGTATGGTGGTTGGGAGGAAGAGAGGAGTAGGGTGTGTGTTGGTAATGACAGAAAGACTAACTTCATTAGTGGAATTTTGAGGATGACTGGTTTAAAGTCCCTGGAAGGAGTTCTCATCCATCAGTTGGTTTTTAAACAATGGAATGTGCTCCCTAATGGAGCTGTGAACTTCCCATCACTCAGTGTATTTGGGTAGAAAGAGAGTGGCCCATCTGTCAGGATACTGTAGGAGGTTCTCAAATTAGAAGCAAGATAGGGCTAGCTGGATGACCTCTGTGGTCTCTTAAAAAACTCAGATTCAATTATTCTCTGAAATAAACTGATTAGGAACCTTTCAGCTTAAACGATTTCACTTCAGTCCTAAAAAGAAGATACGGTGTGTGGAGTGGGAGGCTGAATAGAATACTTTTTAATTGATTACATTTAATTCTGGACAGATTACTTACACTTTCTTAAATGTTCCAATGGAGCCCTTCAAAAATGTTGTAAACAGATGTGTCTAGTGACTAGTATTTATAAGTGTATTTTCTGAATGATTTTTTCTACAGAAAATTTTAATTTTATCTTGGTGGAAGCTCATTTGTAGTTTTATTTTTGGTAGCATGATTTTTTAATACAGATTTTTATCATTTATATATAAATATTACCTCTTTTTAGCATTCTATTTAATTTCAAAAGTTAGGAATTTATACATTATCAGTAATTGTCAGTAGTCAAAGTGTATTTAATTTGGATATAATGACCTATAAAAAAAAGTCCATTTAAAGGAAAACTTTATTGGGGCACCTGGGTGGCTCAGTCAGTTAAGCGTCTGACTCTTGATTTCAGCTCAGGTCATGATCTCAGGGTCCTGAGATTGAGCCCTGGGTTGGGCTCTGTGCTGAGCGTGGGGCCTGCTTAAGATTCTCTGTCTCCCTCTCCCTCTACCCCTCCCCCCTGCTCATGTGGGCACGTGTTCTCTCTCTCAAAAAAAAGGGAAAACTTTATTAAGAATTTGTTTTAAATCTTAGTTTTTATGTCAGTTCATTATTTGCTCATTCTTGCAAAAGTAAGTAACTAGTCATTTGGTTAAATTCTTGGGACTTTCTTATTATGTAATGTAAGGTACCCACCTGGACTTCATAAATATTTATTCCATTAAATCTCATTTTCGGGGCGCCTGGGTGGCTCAGTCGTTAAGCGTCTGCCTTCGGCTCGGGTCATGATCCCAGGGTCCCGGGATCCAGTCCCGCATCGGGCTCCCTGCTCCGCGGGTAGCCTGCTTCCCCCTCTCCCACTCCCTCTGCTTGTGTTCCCTCTGTCCCTGTGTCTCTCTCTGTCAAATAAATAAATAAAATCTTTAAAAAAAAAAAAAATCTCATTTTCATGACAATTGACTCC